AAACACTGCCCAAGAAAGGCCAACAAAGGCTAGCATTCTTTGTTGTGTTAAAGCAGAAATGTTTGGTGGTTAATTGCTTTGCAAAGGTGTGTGGTGGATTGAATCAACCACATGTTCCACTCTGCAGTAGAGGAATCCTACAAATAATGCTCTGTTTTATAACAGGCAATCCAGATTTATTGGTATAACCAAGTAATAACCAGCTGCACAAATATAAGATGGGGGACACCTGGATTGTCAATAGTACACGTGAAAAGGATCTTGGGGTCTTAGTAGACCACAAGCTTAACACAATTCAAAAGTGTGGAGCAGCAGCAAAAAAGTTAATTCTATTCTGGGCTGCATCAACAGAAGTATAGTATCCAGATCAAGGTAAGTCATAGTACTACTTTATTTTGTCTTGGTCAGACCACACCTGGAATACTGTGTCCAATTCTGGGCACCACAATTGAAGAAGGATGTTGACAAGCTGGAACGTGTGCAGAGGAGGACAACCAAAATGATCAAGGGTCTGAAAAACAAGTCTTATGAGGAATAGATGAGGGAATTGGGTATGTTTAGCCTGGAAAAGAGGAGACTGAGAGGAGATATGATAGCAATCTTCAAATATCTGAAGAGCTGTCACATGGAAGATGGAGCAAGCTTGTTTTCTCCTGCTCCAGAGGCTAGGACCCAAACCACTGGATTCAAGTAACAGTGGTACCTCTGGATGCGAACGGGATCCATTCCGGAGCCCTGAAGCGAATGTAACACTCGACTGCATGTGCGCGGGTTGCCTTTCGCCGCTTCCGTGTATGCGAGTGACGTCATTTTGAGCGTCTGCACGAGTGGCGAAACCCAGAAATAATGTGTTCCGTTACTTCTGGGTCGCCGCAGAGTGCAACCCGAAAATATTCATCCCGAAGCTACTTCAACCCGAGGTATGACTGTACAAGAAAGGAGATTCATACTAAACATCAGGGAGAACTTTCTGACAGTAACAGTTCTTTGACAGTGGAATGGACTCCCTTGGAGGTGATGGACTCTCCTTCACTGGAGGTTTTTAAGCAGAGGTTGGATGGCCATCTGTTATGGATGCTTTAGTTGAGATTCCTGCATTGCAGGGGGTTGGACTGGAAGACCCTCAGAGTACTTTGTGATTCCATGTTTCTATAGTACCCCTTTTTCCACTTGGGGGGGTGGTTGGTGATGCTTCCCCCCCCCCGCTGTTCCACTAGTATTCTTCAGGTTACAGGTGTTCTGGGGCTGGGTGGGGCTGGATCCCAAAATGGGCAGGGCCACCCACTTTCTCTCCTTTAATATCTCTCTGTCTCTCTCTCTCTTCTTCCTCACCTGGTGGGGCTGTTGAGAGAGGGCAGATCTCTCTTATTGGAGGAACAGATTGCTTTAATAGAGCCTTCTCTTACCGATCTTCCTCTCAAAAAGCTCCATCCATTTTGGCTTTCCTCCTCCATTTCCCATACTTGAGGCCTCTTCTCCCTCTGGGCTGCCTGTACCCACGTGACATTAAATTTCCAGCTCTGCAATCCTGTGAATGCCAACTTGTAATTAAGTCCTATTGAGTTCAATGAGTTGTTATCCCAGATATCAATATATAGGATTTGAGCCTGAGTTCATTTGCAGAAAAATACATGCACATGGACAGAATAGAACAAAGTCTATTCCTTACTATAGTGATATAGTTTAGCACTGAGAGGCATTCCCACATATGGAGCACTGGTTAATAAATATTAAGGAAATTATCATTTGTGGGCACACCCTCAGGCCACAATAGATTGGAACAGAGGTTCAGGCTGGCATGCACTTTGCTGAGTCACTCTGCAGATTCAGGTTGGGATCTATATTTATGGATCTAAAATCATTTCACACTGTCAGAATACTCGAGTGAAGAGGACCTTGGAATAACCTGGCAGATACCATTTCTGGGATATACGACGTGTTAACAGCGGACAAGGGAACCATTAAGAGCAGAAGGCTTCTGTAAGTACTGTTGAAGTGAAAGAGATCCATAAAAACATGGATTTGCTACAACCACCTGCAAGCCTTCAATTGTCAGAGGATATTGTGGGGAGTGACAAACAATGGTTAGAAGTTTACCTGGCAACAACTGGAGCAGAAAAGAGAAGTGAAAAAACAAAACTGTAAATGTTTCTACATGTTGTGGGAGCGAATGCCTTGGACTTTTGTAATAGCTCTAGGTTTGCAAAAAGTGGGGAATATGAAACTAAGTTAAATTTTGGCCAGAGTTGAAGAATAAAGGTAAAGGGTAAAGGGACCCCTGACCATTAGGTCCAGCCATGACCGACTCTGGGGTTGCGGTGCTCATCTTGCTTTATTGGCCGAGGGAGCCAGCGTACAGCTTACTGCATACCTAAAATGATGATGATGGTGGTGGTGGTGGTGAAAATTTGGAAAGAATTATTCTGTACATGTTGCAAAAAGCAGATCAAACTGTTTATCATTATGTCACACAGTTAAGAAGGGTCAGTAACAATTGCTGCTTGAGTGAATTAGCAGGATTTCTAACAAGCAATAGAATTGTCATCAGAGAGGTTTCTACAAGAATAGGATCACTCAAAGATATTAGAATTTGAAGAATCTTGAAGCTACAAGCCAAAGATTTGAATTTGTCTGAAGGTATTGTTTGTAAACGGATTATGACAGAACACTGTATAAGGAAGTCAGCTGGAAAACTGGAAAGGTCTCCTTCTACATACTAGGCGAGAAAGGCTGAAGAGAAAAGCATTTCATTATTGTGCCATGGAGCATAATCCTAAATAATGCCAAGCATTGGGGGGGGGGAGTGTTTTAACTGTGAGCATTATCATTTTGCAAGGTGTTATCAGAACTTCACAGGCAATAGTCAAATAAACTCAGTGTGTTATTAATCAATAATGTACTAAGATTTTTCATTATATTTAACAGTAATGTAAATGAAAGAAAAGAAAAGAGACATAACTAAAACTGGAACAAAATCCCTAAAAGTTTCAAAAAGCAGATAGGTGGTCCTTTTTGGGTGATACACAATTGTTGTGGAGAAGCTGTACTCTAAGGTTAAGTTAGTCTGGCTAATCTTTTTTGACCCGAGGCGTGCATCCACACTTGGGCAGCTCCCTGAGGGCTGCATGCCAGTGTTGGCTCACCACTACCCACCCTCCCTATTTTATGCATGCACTGAGGATGGGTGAATCTGTCAATTCTGGTTTCTCTCAGATTCTCATTTTTCCACTCATAAGTTCATTTCCCCACATTTTCATAGCATTTCATAAATTTTCTTTTTTTTTTAGTGTGAATTTCTCCTAATATACACACTTTTACAAAGCAAAATATAATGCATCTTTCTCCCCTGTCTTTGCTAATATGTGCATTTCATACACTACACACTTGTTGTATATGCATTTTTAATACCTTGACTGGAGAAATGCATTGCAAAATTCATAGAAGTGTGAATTTAGAAGGATAACTGTGTTTCAGGTGGCATATTATTTGGGAAAGTGCAGATTTAGGTTGCTTCGCCTTTAAAATAGGAACTGAATTGAATTTCTCTCCCATTCCTAGATGCATGTGTGCACACACAGGCACACACAGGCACACAGCCTCCATCTTCTGATTCATGCAGCTCAGATGAGAATGGGTGGTTATTGTTCCTTTTCTGCTCATCAAACGGTTACTCTGATAATCAGGGTAGGAATGGTTTAATTTCCATCAGTGCTGAGCTCCATGCACCCCAGCTCTGTGCCTAGCCTACTTTAATTTTCTTTTTGCACCCGCTGCCAAAATTAATTGTGTCTTGCTTGGCCAGAAAAAAACTGCTTGGTATGGGGTTGGGTGAGGAGCCACCATTAAGGCCCTAATCATTTAGGATCAGATCACCTGAAGGACAATCTGCACTTGTATGACTCTGCCCATAATTTTTCTTTTTTACCCCATAAGATTTTATTAAAGCTTTTTCATAATACAATAAAAGAAAATAAACTGATTAAAAAAAACAGAGATAAAGATAAGAGAAAACTCTCTCAAAGGTAGCTCTTGACTTTTGTCACCCATAGAAAGTGGTGGACTCTCCTAGCTCTCACCTGTGAGCTTCCCTTTCTTCTCCAAAACTCTCACACTGGAAGATCTCACTTCCCTGTCTCTCACACAGGGTCCTTCCACCAATGATCTACCACCTTCATATACAGTGGTACCTCAGTTTTTGAACGTCTCAGAAATTGAACATTTCAGTTTTCAAACACTGAAAACCCAGAAGTAACTGCTTTGATTTTCAAATGCTTTTGGGAATTCAAACGTGCCATGCAGCTTCCGTATTGAGTAAATAAATGCTTCCGTAAGTAAATACTTTTGTTTTTGAATGTTTCAGAAGTAGAATGGTCTTCTGGAATGGATTACGTTTGAAAACCAAGGTACCACTGTATGTGTCATCCTTGAACTCCAATAGTGGCCAAGAGCAGAGGACACCAAAGAAGAAAAAAGGAACAGCAGAAAGGCAAGGGAAGAAGGGAATGGAAGAAGAAAAGAAAGAAGAAGAAAAAAGAAAAAAGGGGAAAGGTCTTCACATTTTCCATTTGTCAGTTACATTAAATAAATTATTCAAAATATTCACTCAAGGATGACATCCAACTATTCTATTTTCTGTCAAGAAATATTTTGTCCAATTTTCAGAGCCAAAGGTTTCAAATACATTCATTTTTTCTTTTCACACAAAAAGACCAAAAGGGGTTCTCCAATTATTATTTTTAAAGGTCAACAATGGTTTTTCTCTAATCAGCCATATCAACCTTGCCTCCAATAATTTCAACAACCATGCCCTCATAATAAACAATAATAAATATTTCTGTCTTTGTCCATATAAGAGTCTCCCCATTGTGTTCATATATTGAGATATTATTCCACAGTTCTTTTCTTATATATCCATTAATTTGCACCCAGTTCTGTATCCTCAGTTCCCATTTCCTGTTGTGTTTGCCATGGTTTTCCATCCTTATCTAAAACTATCCATTTCATTTGCATTTCTTCCATTCTTTTTCCAAGAGGAGTGCCAGAAATTTGATAGCTCTTTCCTCTGAGTTCACTCCAAGTTGTACACAAAGCCTTTTCTCTCTCAGCTCTATCAGTGCCAGATCCAGATGTTTCTCCATCTTTCCATCCATGACTTCATTCCACTCCTCCAAAATCACAACTCTTCCATTTGGCTGTTTCAATCCTCCAAACACCTCTGTGAAGGACTTTTCCATTTCACCATTTGTTCCCTCCAACTCTACCATTTCAACCTCTGTCAGTCCTTTATCCGTATTCTTCTCCAAAGTCTCTGCATCATCTTTGATTCTGCTTTTCATTTCACTCATCCGAGGCTTACTTTCATTTCCCATTTAATCAATCTTTGATCTAATCAATTTCATTTGCTCAGCAAACATTTGCTGAAGAATACAAACAGTAAGTGTAATGTCCAAATATATACTTGCCATACTGAATGCTTTTGCCATACTGAATGTATTATGAACAACTGAGTCTCATTACATCTCACATCTCTCTCTACCTTAAGATCTTCACAGCCTTATCTCTTAATGTAACATGAGACCCAACAGGCATAGTCCATGAAGAATGAACACATTCCTTTCCCACAGAGTATCAAATGGCAGAGTTACTTTCAATTTTTAAGCAGGACTTCCATTGAGAAAACAACAAATAAAAATTTTCTCAGCACAATTCTTGTTTGTTTAAAACTTTCTTGTCTCAAGCCATAAGACAGGCTTTTTGTTCTCCCTTCAACCCTTTAACACTTGACTTCCCTTCCCTTCTTCTGGAAACTAGAATGCAGCTTATGCACCAAATGTAAATCTCCATGGAGACATCTCTCTCAGTTATAAATTATAACTGTCAAAGAAATAATTAAGAAAGGGAGGGATTTTGCAGATCTAATGCATATACAGGGCTCTTATGTGACTTTTGGACTCTGCCCATTATCTTAAGATATTTGTGTGCCCATTAGTGAAATCAGGTTGGCAAGCACACAAGACAGAGCCTTTGTGGTGGTGGCCCCACAGTTGTAGAACTCTCTTCAAGTTAACATCTTTCAGTTCTACTATTCTACTGCCTTTCCTGAAGAGAATTTTGCAACAAAAGGAATTATTAATGAATTTGAGTGGTTCCAGCTGGGTAGAGTCTCTTGGGTAAAATCACAGAAGTGCATCATCTTGAGAATTTGTCTTAGGCGATTATACATATATGGGCACACCTATCCACACTTGACTGTGATCTTAGGTGCCTCTGTACACCACATTACATTTCAGTTTAAAAGTTACCTCTGACTCATACAACATTTTTTTCTCTCTTTAAAAAAATAAAATGCTTTTATGTTGTCTTATGCAAGAGAGAACTTTTGCACTTGTGGACAAACAAAATAAACTTGTATGTTCCAGTGCCATCTGGTGACACCTACTATAATTACACTGTTTAATTAAGGGACATTCATCCATTTGTGGTAGGAGCCAAACCCACCAAGGACCATGCCATTTTTCTGCTCCCAGTGTAATTTCAAATCTCACAGAAACCATTCCACTGTTTTACTTATCCACTAAATCTGCAATCCTATGTTTACTGGGAGAACACCCAGGGGCTATAGGAAGCATTGGATCTCCTTCTCTGAGGGGGAAGAGATTGTTCCAGACTTTGAGATGGTGATCCAATACATTTAAAGCAAAAATAAAATAATGCAAAACAGACATTATCAGTGAAGACCCATTTATCCAAGTGTGAAAGCCTGTTGGAAGAAAGCCTCCACTGAACTCAGAGCAGAATTTTCAGAATGGCTGGGCTGCCCCTGTTCTGTGGAACAGAATTCCTGTTGAGATACTGCAGGTTCCGACTATCTGCACTTTCCTGGAACAATTGAACACATTTTTCTTCCAGCAGGCTTTCCCACTTGGATAAATGGGTCTTCACTGATGGACCAGTTCAGTGGAGGCTAGTCCATTAGGCAAAGTAGGACAGTACCCCAGCAACCTCAGTCTGTTCTCGGCCAGCCTCCACCTGCCTGCCTTCTTTAAAACCAGTCCAGGGGGTGACACAGTCTGTCAGCTTTATTCTCCTTTGTCTTGTGTTTGTCCTTTGAGGAACACAGCAGGGAGGATGAGGAAGAGTACAAAACTGGAATTAGTTGGCTCTGCCAGCCATTGACTCTGGCTCCAACTATTGCTGGGCTTCCTAGCCTTCTGCCCTACCAGTCTAATGGGCACCAACCAATGATGTCTCAGCTACTGTGGAGCAAGCTTCTGAAATCTTAGGAACTTGCAGGAGAAACTTTCATGCAGCAATCTACTATAAGGTGGTCTCCCACATAACCTGGTCCTGAACTGTCTTATATTTTAAGTACCAACAATCTGGGCTGGCCTGGTAGTGGATTGGCAGCCAGTGCAAATCCTACAGACAGGGTGTTATATGTTGGTGCTAATTTGCCTCCACAAACAACCTAGCTGGTACATTCTGCACCATTTTCAGCCTCCAGACCAACGCCAAGGGTAGCCTCAGATATTATGCATGGTTATTATCCATTGCAAAATGCAAGTGGCATCATCGTGCATGCTACCTCACTGGAAAGCACAAGTGTTGCTTATTACCCATCGAAGCATGGGCCTGACATAATTGTGCATCATTTACCAATGGGAAAGCAGAAACCTGAGCACTTATTGTCTGGCTTAAACCTGAGCATTTATTGACTGGCTCACTATGCTTTCCCTGCCCCTCTCTTACTAACCCAAGAACACTTGGCTTATTGGGGCATTTCTCTTCAATACTGTCTAAATATATGATTTTTTTTAATAGCTTCATTGCAGCAAAAATGTTAAGCACTGGGGATGTCTGTTTGTAATTTACTTGCTGTGCTTCTTGTGTCTGTTTGCAGCTATAAGCCTGTCACATGCTGATTCAGACAATTGGCCCATCCAGCTCACTTTTGTCTAGACTGGCAGTAGCTTCCCAAGGGCTTAGGTGGTGGCTTTCCATTCTCTCTCCCTCCCTGCTGAAATATGATAGGCCCCATCACTATTGGCTTTCCACAGGCTCTTGAATGTTTCATTGGTTGTGCTTTGAATCACTATAAGTGATGGTAATTTTCTCTCTTATGTTACCAATGAAACAATATAAAGTGTTGGTCTATTGATGAATGTGAGAAGCAGATTAAAAATGAATATAATAATTCATGTTTAAATTTAAATTTAGATCCAACCTCATTGAGACAAATGCTGAGGATGTGGGGGGATAGATTGTTTATTTTCTGGAATACTGACATATGTGGTGTATTAAACCACACTGGCGTAGAAACATGTTTCTTGAGCTATCCACGTGTCAACTGTAGTTTATTTGTTTATCTCTCAAGGAAAGCTGTTTCCTAAACTGTTTTGTACCAATTGTCATTCTGCCAGAAAAGTATTTCCAGTCTCTGGTTATGCTGCGTCTCACCGCTTGTAATAAATACCTTATTAATTATTTATTATGTAATTCAAGATTCTTGTCTTGAAATATATTTAATAAAGCTAATTCTAGTTTGATTTCCAATTGTTGTTTTGCTATTTTTTTAATTTCTTGGAATATCAAATTCCAGAAAGGCTGGATTTTTGTACATTCCCACCACACATGCAGATATGTACCAAGTGTGGGGCAGCCCCTCCAGCAACAGAGTGAGGCATGAGGATGGATCATTGCCAGCTTCCTAGGGGTCAGGCACCACCTATATATGTGTTTTAGGGTTAAGTCTCTATTGTTTGCCAAAATAGGGTCAAGTGAACCCACCAATGCACTGAGTAGAATTTTGTAGATTGTGGAGGTTATATCTGGGCCTTGTCTTTCTGTGGATATTACAAGTCTTTCAAAAGGGACTAGTGGTCTTGTGGCTGCTTTACTGGTAATTGGGTTAGCCAAAAAGGTGTGGATTGGGTTGAGTAGCAGTCAAAGGGTTTGTAAATTTCCTAGTTTAGTCCACATTTCTTGGTCTGATAGTTGTGTATTTTTGCTATAAAAGCCACATTACCAGTATAGATCTTTTGAAATAGTGGGTGGAACATAAAGTGTCTCAATGGGGACAGTGCTGGAGTTAGGATTCCTGCCTTTTCTTTCCATGCAATTAAGCATGATTTTTATGTATTTTTTAATGTTTTAGTTATTGCTTATAACTACTTTTGTTATGTTATTGTTATGCATTTTTTCATATTGTAAGCCAACATGAGCATAGTTTGGACTGTGGAAAGGCAGCATATGAATAAACTTATGTATGTATCTATATAGGTTTTGAACTTTTGGGCCAGTTCTAAATTTTCGCTTTAAGAAGGGGTATGCTGAGGCTGAAATTCCCTCAATTTGTTTTGTTTCCAATTGGACTGACTGTTTTGAAGTATCATCTAAAATAAAAGGGAATGTATGTGGGTGGCGCTGTGGGTTAAACCAATCAGAAGGTCGGCGGTTCGAATCCCCGCGACGGGGTGAGCTCCCGTTGCTCGGTCCCTGCTCCTGCCAACCTAGCAGTTCGAAAGCACGTCAAAGTGCAAGTCGATAAATAGGTACTGCTCCAGCAGGAAGGTAAACGGCATTTCCGTGCGCTGCTCTGGTTCGCCAGAAGCGGCTTAGTCATGCTGGCCACATGACCCAGAAGCTGTACGCCGGCTCCCTCGGCCAATAAAGCGAGATGAGCGCCGCAACCCCAGAGTCGGCCACGACTGGATCTAATGGTCAGGGGTCCCTTTACCTTTACCTTATGTCTTACTTGGCTAGCAACGAAATATACCTCCAGTTTTGGGACTCCTCAGCTTCCTTCAAGTGTGGGGAAGGGCAGGTGTTTGGTACTTATTCTGGACCTTTTGAGGGGGAAATTCTTTGAGGCTGTTTTAACAGGCTTGAGTATTGCACATTTTAATTATAGATGTCTAAGTGTAGATGTCTTACTATGTATTTTGATTGCAGATAGTTGTATTTTTATAATTGCCATTCTTATTTTTCTGTTGGCTTCTATTTTTTGTGAACCACCTTGGTATCCCTTCTTGAAATGAAAGCTAATATATAATGTTTTATATAAAAAATATTGATAATAATAATGAGACATGAGCGCCTTTTGATTGGAGTTGCTGGGACCTTCTGCATTCAGTGCCTGTATGCATCCACTGATGATCTGTAGACCCTTCCAAACAGAACACAAATAGCTCATCACCATCAAGATCAAAGCTGTTTGACACTATATTGCAATACAAGCTGAAGGACTAAACAAGAAGAGTCATCAAATGCTCAGGTCAGCTTGCACCACAACTTGTATGGTACACTGAATGAAGTGGCTCGCTGAATATGTACAGCTCACATCATT